CTCCGGCGAATGCGCTTCCCTTTACCATATTTTCCTTATAACAAAAGGGTGGAAAGAAAAAGGAGACTAAAATTAGACCTCCGGCAAATCAACTCGACGCCCGTCTTCCTCGTGGACTCGGTATCGCACGGAGCGAGCCGACACCATCTTACAACAGATGTGGGTGTTGCTCTTCTCTCGCTTCACTTGTTATAAATGTAACGGTGTCAGGTGAGCGAGTGCGGCGAGGCGGGCGAGGTGGGCGAGGCGGGCGGCGCGGTAGTGCGCCGCAGCGTGGTGGTGCGCAACACCGGGCGCGTGCCCGTGCGCCTACGCGAGTGGCGCCTCGCCGGCCGCCCCTGTCAGGCGCGCGGCTTCCGTCTGCAGCCCTGCGCGCCCCTCGCCCTCGCGCCCGACGACTCCCGCACCCTGCACCTCGCCTTCGCGCCCGACTTCACGCTCGCCCGCGCCACCGCGCGCCTACAGCTGCGCTCCGACCACGGCCGCGCCGAGTTCCTACTGCAGGCCGCCGTGCCCGCGCGCCTGCTGCCCCGCTGCGCCGCCGCCCTGCCGCGCCCGCCCTGGGAGCCCACGCTGCGCCTCGCCGCCGCGCTCCTCGCCGCTCTCGCCCTCCTCCTCCTCCTCGCCGCCGCCGCCTTCGACGCCGAGCGGCTGCTGCGCCGCGCCCGCGCCTCCCGCGCCTCGCCCCAGCCCCGCGCGCCCCTCGATCTGCGCCTCGCGCCCAGCCTGCCGCACCGCCCCGCACCCGCGGCGCCCCCGCCGCTCCGCGCCCCGCCGCCCGCGCGCCGCCGCCGGGCCCCGCGCCGTCCCCTGCCGCCGCTGGATCCCCTCGCGGAAAGGCGCGCCTTCGAGCGATGGCGCGCCGAGGTGCTACGACGCGCCGACGACGAGGAATCCCACTCGAGCGAGGATACGGACTCCGTGTGCGTGGAGGCCGAGCCGCCTCCGGCGAAGGGCGCCGAGCGCGCCGCGCCCTCGCCGGACGATGAACCGTGCGAGTCGCGGCCCAACACGCCGCCCGACCTCGAGGAGTACGCGCCCGACCCCGAGCCCGACGACGACGAGGACCGGCCCTCCAATAGCGCCGACGAGGAATGCATCTCCACCGGCTCCGAGGGCTCCTCCCCCGCCAGCGTCGAGCCCGAGGAGCGCTCCGAGCCCGAGGAGAGCGAGGCGCCCGTCGAACGAGATTCGCCCGTCCGAGCGGATCGGCTCCCTGCCGCGCCGCTCGGCTCGCCGGCCGACACGAGCGCGGATGTCTCCCCTCGACCGTCGCGAGCGCGGCGCCAGTCGGGCGAGGCGAGCCGGCGCCTAGAGAGGCCGCGCCCCGCCGGCGATACGGCTCCGGCGCTCATAAAGACCGCCAAGCAACATAGTCGCAAGGAAAAGAGCGTGAAACGTCGCGCCGAGCGACCCAGCGCGCCGCCCTCGCGCGGCTCCCCGGCGCCGCTCGAGGTGGAGGTGGCGGGCGTGGGCGCGGGCGCGGGCGCCGGCGCGCCTGCCGTACGCTGGGGCGCCTCCTGGAGCTCGGTGGTGGCGGCGCGCTCGCTGGCGCCCATCGGGTCGGACGTGCGGCGTCGCACGCCGGCCGCCAGCGCCCCGCCCCCCGCCGCCGGGCTGGTGGGCGCGGTGGCGAGCGCGGCGGAGACCCCGAGCGCCGACAACTCGCTGTTCTACTTCAACGGCGCAGCGAGCGTTCCGCGGCCCGACATGCCGTGGCGCGCGCCCGCCATGGAGCGCCCCTACCCGCCGCCGCAGCGGGACTATCTCGGTAAACACGACTCTTTGTTTATGGATAAATTAAATTGAGCTTTAACATATTGTCCACCTCCATATGTTTTTAACCAGAATATTTGTGTGTACTTTTTTTTAACTCGATTTTAGATAGATCGATTGAGTATTTGTCGTTATTTGCAGGTGACACAACGGGCGTGGGGTCCGTTGGCTCGGTTGGTGCCGTGGGATCAGTGGGTGCGGTGGGTGCGGTGGGATCGATGGGCGCGGTGGGGTCGGTGGGCGTGCTGGGTAGCGCGTACAGCCAGCTGGAGCCCGGCGGGGGGTGGG